GACATTTTTCAATAACTGGAGGTTGTAGTGGAAGGTGAGCATCGATTTCTTCGATAACTGTGGGTGTGATTTTTTTCATTTCCACATTTAATGTTGGCTCGAAACATTTAATAACTTATAAAATTTTTTTATGTAACTAATGTTTGACATAAATAAATTTTTTAATACCTATACTATTACGTAGTCAACTACATTATGACACGTGCAACTCACTAGTATTAAAGTTAAGGCTCACAGTGCAGCCATTTTATTTATTTCCTCTTGTACATTTGTAAAAGAAAAAAAAAATTGCAAATCCCTCGATTAATCCTGATTTGTTCCCTGGACAGGAACCAAGTCAAAGCCAACACACTGCACACGTAAGTACAAAATATAATGAACGATGCTATTTACCGAAATGGTTTTCAAAAGAGGTTGATTGAACACTCACAAGGAACAATTTTTTTTGAATGTTTTTTCTTTCACGCGGAGCCCCTGTGTACGTGAGAGATTGTCAACTTCTTCTATCAAATATTTCCTGTACAAATGGAAAAATCCAAATATAATTAACACTATTATGTTTTTTCAATTACAATTATTTCAAGATATTTTATTTGCATGTATAGCGATTGTGTTAATAAAAAATAAAGATACATTAGTTGTTTTAACAAAATATTGACAATTTGAAGACAGTGTTCTAAAATGTACGTTTAAAAGACGTCTAGGCGATACCTAAGTGCGAGGCTCGGGGCGAAACATCACATCTTGGCAATCTAGGGGCTCTTTTTTATTTTTAAAAGTTTTTTATTTGACTATAATTTTAAACTTTTAAATAAATTTATCTGTACAAAAGTGAAAAAATGAAAAAATGTTAAAAAATTACAAGTAGGACTTATTTCGAAATTACAAGTAGTTGAAGTTGAAAACATGAAAAATTACAAGTAGTTGAAGTTGAAAACATGAAAAATAGTACTTTTTCATTTCGAAATTTTGAAAATTGTACAATTAACTAATTATAAAAATTACTAAGTAAATATAATATTTTATAATTTTGGTTTTTTGGTATGTATTTTTTTATATTATTTAAAATTTTTATCATTTTAAGAAAACATTTTTTTACGCTTCTCGCCTAAGTTCATAAAATTTGAAACTTAACCTTCACGTCTCACAACGTTTTTAACTTTTTAAAACATTGTTTAAAGGTCAATTGGATGGATTGGGTTGCATCGAAATGATAAATTGTGGATGTCAGTGCCAAAACAAATACATTAAGGACTCATTTAACCACGGACTCTCAGGGCGATGCTAAAGAGCACTTCTCAGAATTGAACGAACCCAGAAAGGAGTGAGATCGTCGCCATGGCTACGTATCTCAAGCGCCTTCTTTCTGGTATGTACATGTTTGAATCTTTCTCTCTGATTCTATTCATTTCTGCTCATTTTTTTCCTAATTTTTCTTTGTTACTCTTTCCGTTCTGCCTTTGTTATGACGCGAAGAGGTCAGTTTACAACATCGCCAGCTTACATTCCGAATTCCCAATCGGTTGGTATGTTCTCTCTGCTTTGGTCAGATTATTGCCGGACGATAAGATTGCATTTTGAAACTTTCAGAGCTGTTATAACAATATTATTTGTTCCAGTGTGTTTTGAATCAGTGTTGCTCTTTGTTTTGCACATCTAAGTGCACATCTAAGTGCAAACGAATTGTGTAAGTTAATGTGTGTAATTAATGGTTTGTTTAATATCCAATTCCTTTAATATTAAAGCCTTTACCTTGGAATTAATTATCGTCTTAAAATATCATCCTTCTGACAAGGTGCATATGTTGGGCTGACACACTGCATTCACATGGTGTTCTCCCAATAACATCTCTCTCTTTTGCAACTTCAAATTATTATCTATGGTCAATTGCTTTTTGAAAAATGATAATATTGTCAAAGAAGTGTGCCAATTGTTCTTTAGCTCAAAACATAATAAATCGATCAAGTCTTCTCAATTTACTTAAATTCTTGTTTGTGGACTTCAATTTGTATTTAATTAATAGATGTTATACAAATAGTAGAAAAGTATAAACTATGTAAAAGTCAGAGCTATCTATGGTCTCCCAAAAATAAATCCACCAGTGATTCTACACAACTAGGAACTGAATATACTCAAAAAATGAAAAATAAAATTAGAAATTGAATATTTGGGTCCAAAATTTGTAAAACTAATAATGAGGAACTTCTTAGCTTCCCAACAGTGTTGTCAAAGGCTTACCTGTTCTGCTGTTCATCTCTCCCCACTGTACCCAGATCAAGCAACATGGTGTGTCCAAGCTCTTTTCCTTGTCATTGTAGGCAATAGGCATCTTCATCTTCCAACACCAAATAACTTCCTTCACAGTATTGGGAATTTTTCAAATGTATACCAAACTCAGACAATATAGTTCACAAGCCACCTGACAATGTAATAGAAAATGATGCTCATTCGATCTACTGAGATTCTTAATCATAAGATAATTAACTATACTACGTTGAGATTCTGAGTTAACTTTTCATTTCACATAAATTTTCTCCATATTCACTTATACCTTGCAAAGTTCTATTGTTCGGCAGTATGCACAAGTATCTTTATGTATTTGACTTTCTTCTTCGAATTTCGAATCTTGTTTTGGAAATTGACTTCACCGAACCAGCACGTCCAAGGTGAGAGCCTTCAAGTAGAGCAGGAAGACGAGTAGCATTAGAAGCAGGACAAACAGTCCGGCTGAGAGTGGATAGCATCTCTTGTGAAAACATTTCTATTATTTTGGGTGTTCTACATTGAAATTGGAATGTCCATTTATGAGAAAGCTGAAATTAAAAATACTGACCACTTCCTTTCTTGTCATTTTATAAGCTTGGAACCAGCAAAAACATTTCTCAGAATGATAAGAAATATGAAGATCAGCAAAAATTTGAAACTTTTGTAGGTGATTAAAAGGCACTTCTTGGTGTCAAGTCAAAAAGCGGCCATAGATATGGGTTCAAAAGATGGGGAACTCAGAGTCTTTATCGTTGCTGGAGAGGTTTCTGGTGACATGATCGGCTCACGTTTCATGGACTCTTTGAAAAAGCTTTCTCCTTGTCCTGTCCGTTTTGCAGGCGTTGGAGGGTAAAAGAGTCACTAATTATTTATGTAGAATCTCTCTCTGTTTTACCATCATTTGTTTTGGATAATAGTTATTTCTGCACCAGTGTGGAGTAACTTTCTCATAACTAATAGTGCGGTGAGCCATTACGTGTTGCGTGTACTTTGCACATGCCTGTTGTTTGATCTTTCATTTTTATGGTTAAAAAGTATTTCTTGTCTTGATTAATTATATAAAAAATATTGCCCTTATTGTTTGATGATCCATTGTCTGTGGTAGCTGATTCTATCTTTTTACCACAATATTACCTCATTTATCACGCGGTTATCAAAGATCAATAAGTATTATTTTTCCGTCTCTGTTGGAAACATGCAAATGATTTACCATCCTTACATCATTTGCCCACGAATCCATTCAACAGCACTATCAGCCAACCCATTTAACCTCAATCATTGTCGGCTTACCAGCACATTATAAAAACTCCCTTTAGATTGAAAAAGTTTAATTTAAAGCACTATCAGCCAACCCATTTAACCTCAATCATCATCAGTTTACCAGCTCATTATCAATGCACTATATTATGTCCCTTTAGGTTGAGAAAGTTTAATTTAAAGCGGGATGGTTATAGCTTCAATATGAACATGTAGGAGGCATTTTTGTGAATAATTTGTGGCTGCCTTGGTTGGTACTTGGTTGTTTTGGTGGAAATCTGTGAACATTGGTACGACTGATGCATGGATGACCATAATATGCTTATAGAAGTACAGAGAGTGAAGGAAGATACAATATCATATCTCAAGGAATTATTAGTGAGTGCATGTGAACCCCATAGGCCATAGAAGGAGTAAGAAGGTGCAACCCTGCAAGGTTGAGCTAACCCCAAAAACCCCTCTCTCTCCCAGGGGGTTTCTGAGAGTGACATGATGAAGGTTTATGCTAGAGACTGTGATCAAGAATGGAGGCTGGCATTAGTTGTGATAACTCATGCTCTATATGAACCATATCTCAGCATAGCTCGAGAAACCTATTCAGTAGCAAAAATCCTTTTATGTGTCTAAATGGACTTCTCTTTCAAGTCACTACACAGAAAAACATTTCGTCATCAAACTGAAACTATTGCCTATCAAATTCAGTTCCCAATAAAGCAACACAAACAGGTTACTAGAGGTGCAAATATTTCCTGATCCTCTGTGAATAGTTTGTAACTAGTTTAGCCCACAACAATGGGCTGTGTGCTTCACTGCACACACCAATTTTCATCCCATTGCCGTTTTCCTCTTAGGCCACTCAAATATTTTTCATGTTCTATATCTTGAACTGCATTCTTCAAACAATGTCTTTTCCTACTTTGGATAACACAGTGCATATTGCATGTTTGATGAATAGGAAGAGAGGATATCTGGGGTGTAAATGTGTGATCAGAAGGTGAATGACAATGACGAGACACAAATTTGGATATGGGATGCTTAGTACGTCTCCTAACTACATAGCTAAGTGCAATAGGATTGTTGAGAACGGAGGACATAGTTATTATTTGCCAACATTCCTAGCTCAAGGATTTTGATTGACTTGGAGGGGGAGGAGAGTGGTCATGTACTTCTGCATTCTACTTAGAACTTCAATGACTAGACACAAATTTGAATATGGGATGCTTAGGACGTCTCCTAATTACAGAGCTAAGTGCAATAGGATTGTTGAGAACGGAGGACATAGTTATTATTTGCCAACATTCCTAGCTCAAGGATTTTGATTGACTTGGAGGAGGAGGAGAGTGGTCATGTACTTCTGCATTCTACTTAGAACTTCATTTCCACCTTATCTGGTTGATTCAGCTGAGAACTTTCTTCACCATGGGTTCCTCATCTTGAACTTGTTGGGGACAAACAAGAGGAGACTAATTTTCTTGTAGATGCTCCTCCTGAACAGAGGTCTCTGAGTATGAAAGTACAGTTGAAACTAAAAAAAAGTACCGTGCATAGCTGTTTTTGGAATGTGGATGGAAGCATTTGGTACATTTTTACCTTTTTGATGGAAGAATGAACCACAAGAGACACCCCAGGAGCCCCAAGGATCCAATTTTCCATAAAAATGATTCCTAACCTGCAAAACACAGGTGTGCCCAAGCACCTGAGGATAAAAAGATAAAGGGATAGGAAGATGATGATGGACATAGTTTTTCAACTGCCATCTGAAAATCTTGTTCTTTTGTGACAACAAAATTAATCAGATACGTGTTAGTCAACATAACTTCTCCCTGACAAGATTCAGGAACATGAATTTTAAGCATAATGGCATGTTTTAGCTCAAGAGAATGAAGGTTTTACTGAGAAACGCCTAAAAGGAGTAGTGGACATGCTACATTGAGCTGTGATCAAAATCAGACCATTCAGGATCTTATTTCTAAATGCGGAGGACCCTCATCTTTTTTTCCTTATCCTTCATTTGACCAGCCAGGAAACCCACTGGTTGCCCTTAATGCTTCTTCCACAGTTCCACTATTTCAATCCTTAAACTATTGATCCATACATGTTGGCTCATAAATATATTGCTCATGCTTTTCTTCCTTCGCAACCTGTTCTGATGAAGTTAGACTTGATAATGGTTCTTGTCCTTCAATATCTGGAAGGACCCAGTTTTGTCCTTGTCTTCTGTGCTACATGTTTGAATTCTTCTACTAGTTTTTTCCATTAGTGCCATTCTCAAACCCCTCAGTTTCTAGCATAGACTTTTATTATGTTCTTCTGTCTTTCCAGGATTGGAAATGAGGATAATATGGAGTGGTAATTACTTTACTGATTCTCAAGCCTTAAAGAGACTAGATGTTTCTCAAGCTCATCAATCTAGCCATTGGAATGGTATGGCCAGATTTGTTCTAATAAATTATGAACAAATATGCACTCCACCTTCGGTGCCACTACCAGCAAAAAAGGATAATGGAAAAAAAATAAATTGAAATTTTATATTGGTTTAAAACCTCTTCAACCTTCAAAAATTTGCAAAATGTCACCATAACATCAATCCACACTAGCTGTTCCTTGACCCATGTGAAAAAACTGTCTGACAATCTCGAATACGTAATTAGTTGCCGAAACAGTTGAATCCAGTGCTTAGGAAAAAAGGATATGAAAATTTTCTTTTAACAGTGTTGACGACTCCAATACAAAAATTGGTTGAGAGCGTTTGATTCCCAAAGGGAGACTACTTCTTACTGACACCCACTGACAGTCTGATATCAATTGCCATGAGGTAGGGTTTTTCTTTACCTTGTTAGAAAGCACATAAAAAATGATTGGATGGATGAAGATATGATACCAAGTTGAAGTGCATGGGAAACTTGTGAATAAAAATAGAAGAGAGAGGAATAAGAGAAGCACAGAGTTGTGAAAATTACCTTATGAGAGTATTTCTTAAATGTGCCCTGAAGAATTAAGCTAGAACTTAAAATATTCGTCAGAGGAATTTGCCATCATGGTGATGTAGTAACTAGATCACATAATTCCCTACCATAAGGGGGAGCTCCAGCACACCGATTGTGAATTGGTGCTGAGTGCTGGAGCAAAGCTCTAAGATGCTAAATCTGATTCAAAATTTAAGAAATGATATATCTCTGCATTGAGTTTGTCTGTGTAAAGTGGCGGTTGATCATGGCTCAACAATGAGCTTGTGGTGGAGATGGTTGAGTCTAAAAATAATGATTGGTGGGTGCTCCTATTGAGGAGGTAGGCTACCATTCACGCGCATAAATCTTAAGGAATAAGGAAAAAAGATTACATGATAATGAAATTAAAAAGGAATATGAAGATGAGGAAGAATGGGTTCGTGCTAGGGTTTAGTATTGTTTGAGTTAGTGCTCCGAAAGAATATGAGACCAGCATGTTAATTACGATAACAAGCTTTTGAAGCTGGACAAAAGATGTGGAAAAATATGCACCACTTGAACTCAGCGGCTTTCGAAAACATTTTTCTAATTTCCAGACATAATAAACAATATATAATTTTATATGCTAATTATGCACTCTAATATGTTCCTGCTCTCGAATACCTTTCACTTTCCGCATTCTTTGCAACCTGACTCCACTCCAGCTCCGCACATTATGTGATCTAGGGTAGTAAAAATATTATGCATTCTAAATAGGTTGAATACATTCAAGCATGGATTACTCTTTTAGTTCTTTTGTCCTATGTCAGAATGACGTGTGGTATAATATTGGCTAAATGCATTATCTTTCTGCTGCTTTGTATTTTTCAGGTTGGCAATGTCAAAGCAGGGGTTAGATTCTCAGTTTCCTATGGAAGATATTGCAGTAATGGGTATCTGGGAGTTGGTGCCGCATCTTAGCAAGTTGAGGGTGAGTAATGACGAATATCAACATGTGGTGTTAATCATTGAATACCTACAATTTGGACATAATTCTTGTATTCGAACTTCAAAACTTTCAGGTTAAGTTGAAACAGACAGTACAGTCTGCTCTCTCTTTTCAGCCTCATGTTGTACTAACGGTGGACTCAAAAGGGTTTTCCTTCCGTTTCCTAAAGCAATTGCGTGGTATTTTTTTTAAGCTGTTACAAGTTATTCCATTTGCCTATGCAAGAGAAACATGGTGGAGAAATATGAGGAAATGCTTTATGCAGCTATTTATGGTCAGCAAGGATTGGTTGGTCCTCTGCATTTTCACTATGTAGCTCCGTCTTTCTGGGCCTGGAAAGGTGGCGAAGAAAGACTTAAAGGGCTCTCTAAGTTTGTAGATCACGTCTTCTGTATCCTTCCTTTCGAGGCAGAAGTGTGTATATCAAAAGGACTAAATGCAACTTTTGTGGGCCATCCAACACTAGAAGATGTTTTGGAGCTAGAGGTAAATCAGAATGTTTGGTGTCTGCCAGCTTTTGAATACAGGTGTACTTTTTATAGAAGACTCTTTCCTTTGGGGATCAAATTTGTTTACTGTTTTGGGATTAACTAATTGAGAAATTGAAATTACTTTATCGTTGTGCACTTGTGCTTGTATGTCAGTCAGAATGATTTTGCATCACATGTTTGTTGTAGTCATGTTAAACTTGAGGGACTGCATTTTCAGGTAAAGGACAGTATCTGTAATGAATGGAAAATTCAAGGTACGGGAGAAACATTTAAGGAGCAGCATGGGATATCCTCAGGTTTGGTGCTTTTATAATTTGTTTGTGCAAAAAATCTGGTTCATTGTTATTCAAGATTTTCTTGCACGTGATGTGGCAACTTTAGTTTACAAGTTTGAGATAGCATTGGATGTGCAAGTATGTACTCCGAATGAGAAAGAGTGTGGTTGAAGGAATGTATAATTCAGATGCATATTTCCTAATTGCTTTTGCCTTTAGCGAGACTTGTCATATATTTTTCGCTTTGGCACAAAAAATTGTTGTCATTTTTTAATTAAGTTTGCTACTCATAGTTTGATTGTAGTTCATCCAACCTTTCACTCTGTATTAACAATATACGTGTTTTGAAACTTGAAGGAACCACAGTTATTTCCTTGCTTCCTGGAAGCAGATTACAAGAGGTCACACGCATGCTTTCCATATTCTCAAACACTATGGAGCTATTAAAAGATTCCCACTCAGAGTTAACAGCAGCAATCCATGTGGCGCCTAATAAGTATGTGGAAGACTACATCAGGAAAGCTGTTTGTGAGTGGCCTACATCTGTCGTATTGGTTCCAAGTGGATCCCCGCAAATTAAATATGATGCATTTAGTGTAAGGCCTCTTGATGGTATTTCTTTCTGGTAATGGTGCAAGCACATTATGCTAAAAATTAGAAAGAAAGACGGAGAATTGATATTGGAAGATATACTCGTTCTGCTTAAGTTTTCAATCTATATTTAATAGGAAAAGGCACCTTCACCACTTTTATACACACCTTATTTTGATTATATACAAAATTATCTGTTTAAATTTGGCTTCTTTAACCATGAGTATATGGTTGCTTGTCAACAATTATGATTAGCAGTTATCATCTCCGTATTGCTAGATTTACAAATTAGATGTTTATGGACTTGCAACATGGCATCTCAATATGAAATACCATATTTACGTGGTTGTATTTCTCTAGAAAATAGTTGCAGTCTGAATGATACTTTCTGATTGAGTGATTGTCCTGATCAGGTTAGTTTAATCTTACAGTTCAATATTAAGAGTTATTAGGTTAATATGATCATGAGCTACCTACTGCCTTTTGTATTGGAAATTTGGAAATTTGGTGTTTTGAAATCTGGCGACGGTTTTGTTCCTTGGATGTTTATGGCTTTCATGGAGCATTCTCCAATCTTTCTTTTGGTTCTTGGACATATTTGTTGACATGTCTGAAATTGAAAACATGTTAATTTGGTCCACTTCTTTAGTTTTTTCAGTAAACAAAAAATGTAAAAAATTGAAGATATGTATGGTGTTCCTAGTGTTTTTCAAGGTAAAGAAATAATTCGGTACTGGAGATATTTGTAGAAATAGGTAATCTATGCTTTTTGCTTTTTCCGATATATGAGCACGTGTTGTAAAAAATTATTAACATTTGTAGATCATTCCCAAAATTATGTTTTTGAGTCATCTTCCCATAGGACCCTTTTTCTCGTATGTTATATCTAAACCCAGAGATGCTCATAATATTTGTATTCAGTCCGAAACATTATGAGTTCCCATAACATGATATTTTGTGGCTGGGTCTAATTCTATGTTGTAAATTTTAAAGATAAACAGAGCTGACCTTATCTGTGCCCTAAACACAGCCCATATACTCTGTCAGCATCTTTTACTTTAGAATTGAAATGTACTAATTGATTAATGATTTAATCACAAAGCTTGGAAGATTTAACCTACTGAATTCAATATGATCAGGCAAGTAGAGTAGCCTTGTGTACATCTGGGACTGTGGCAGTGGAATTGCAGCTTGCGCGACTACCATGTGTTGTTGCCTATAGAGCTCATCTTCTGACTGAATGGCTCATACGATTCAAAGCTAAAGTACCTTATATCTCGCTTCCTAATATTATTTTGGATTCAGCAATAATTCCCGAAGCTCTTTTCAATGAATGCACACCTTCAAAATTGGCATCATTACTCAAGTAAGCTCCCATTTTACTATAATTCTAGTCTTTATATTCTTGTTTTTTGTCTAACTGGGATGTGACTCTCCCACTCCTTTTACGTAAAATAGAACGTGATGCACTTTTTGGTCATTCTTTCCTTTCTTAATGTAGACATGAAAATAAGTGAAACATCTGCTTATATTTTATACCTATATTTTTCAGCGTCATGTGAATTTATTTTCCTCAATGTGATCTTGTAGTTTATCTGGAATCGATAATGTCATCGTCCAACTGTTTGCTACAGAATGATGGATTTGTCATCACTTAATAATGCAATACTCTGCTAATTACGTAGCTTTGGTTTGCAATGCGACAGGAACTTAACAGACGATGAGAACCTCCGAAGAAAACAAATATGTGCTGCTGAAAAGGTTTTTGATTTACTTGTTCCTCCTAGAGTAAGTTGCATCCAAATCCAGCAAGAACGGAGCCGTCCTATACTTGTTGATGATTATCGACCGAGTATGATAGCAGCATCTACAGTATTACATTATAGAAGAATATGATGGTGATTCGATCAACATGACAATGTAGTTTCATGAACAAAGTCAAAATATTTGGTCGACCCGACAAGAACATATAGCTTCTTGGCTCTGCACGATGCTGAAATGACAAGGCATCTTCTACATTGGCAATCTTGGGGATGCAACTTTGAGGGTTTTCTTGTGTAACCGAAATATGAAACAAATGGTCCATTGATGACCAGAGGAATATTTTGTAAAATTTATGACTTCATAGAAATTGGCATTAGTTTATTTGGTTCTCTCTTGCAGTGTCTGCAGTGTTTATAAAATTTGCAATGGTGCTAATGTCAACTAGGATCCATCCGATGGTGGTCGGTCAAGAAAACATTAACAAGATGTTTCTTTTTTTGGTTGAAAGCTTCATTTAATACTAATAAAATATTATAGGAGAAACTGGGTAAAATAACTGACTCCATACCATTAAGATTAAGCTAGTATATTGGTGTCTAAGTGGGTTGGATTTATTTTCAATTTGTACAATGATCGAAAAAAGAGAAGATGTTTGTTTGTTGCTTGTGAAATGCTCAAATTAGTCTACTTAGCATGGATGCGGCTTCGTCCCTCCCTCGAGCAAATCAACAGTCTTGTGAAGAATGACATTCTTTTTAATCTTGAGATGACTAAAGGCAATCTTATAAGACCGATCTCTATCCAATCAAATTCCCCTTAATTCACTTGATAGTACGGTAGTAGCATCTAAGCCCTTGTTTGACCCACATTATATTTTTCATTCTCATTCTTCTACTCATTTTCAACTACACATTCTTCAATAAAATAATATTTTCCATCACATCAATAACTTTTCTTTCATTTTCAACCACATATTATCCATCACATCATTTCAAAAAAAATGCATTCTCTCATTTTAATGTGCACCAAACAGGCTCTAAATATGCAAATGTCGTAACAGCAGGATCGATCCAATCTTCTGCACGTACATAAACTGCTTGAATAGAAGTTACAGATCCTTTTTTGATAGAAGTAATCATTTTTTCTCTTTAGATGTGACATGATATCAATAAGTTTTGATTTGTACAGACTGATCACGACAAATAACATAACCTTTAACAATGTTTATAATGTGCAGAATTACAACCAAATTAAATGCTAAATTATTTAATATAATGCAATATGATAGGCTACAGTCATCAACCTCCTCTAATAAAATATAAGAAAATGATACTATACTTCTACTGATCATATGTACCATATATCAAACTATATTTGAAAAAAGTACAAGGGATCATGATACAAATCAAATGGTTTTGCAAGATCATACAAATCAAGTATAAATACTGGCAATAGTAATAGATGGGCAAAGAATATCTCTTACTTGGTTCCATTTTCCCTGCTTTGCTCGGGATTCCACCTGGTGATCATTCTCTCTTCCACACTGTAATTCTCTAAACATGAAGGAAACACAACACCATTGCCATTTTTGTTAATGTATAGAACCAGCAATGTCTTTGCAACGCTGCCACAAAGTCGAAGCGTGCACTGGAAATCTGACCAAACCCTCAACCGACCATTTGTATTCTCATCTTTCCCGGATAAAACAAGCACAGCATATTCAGAATGCACCAAAGCAGGATGATGACGGTAGGCGACAAAGTCTACACCGAATTGTGATCCCGACCTCACCACCCAGTTCTTCATTCGAAGATGAGAATAAGCTATGCACAGGTTATGAAAATTAGCTCTCTTAGGTGTCATGCAACTCCAAAACTCTTCATCATTCTTTAACCACTTATCATTACATATAATCTTAACACACTTTAGTGCAAAGCACAGGTAAAAAGCTTCCTCCATACTCAGTTGAAACCACTGCTTATCCTTATCAGCATTGACGATGGGGCGACCAAAGCACGCCCGGTTTAGAAGGTCAGTCTGTTCTGCGTTTGCTTCAAGAAGTACAATACAACCCGAGAGCAATCCTTGCAAATCAGACTCAATGAAAGATAATCGAAGCTGGGATACTATTTTTGACATGGGATCTGCTAGTGCTTTAGCTTCTGCCCCCTTTCCTTTCCATCTTGGCCCCATAATCAGCTTCAAGGGAAAATAAGAAAAGCCATTATTACTCGTGAGAGATGTATATACTAAGTAATAAAATAGGAATTAATTGTCAAGAAAGGTTTTTGTTGTTTGGTTTTTCTTTAAAATTGAGACCTTGCTGTCAAACTGTCACGTGAAATACCATCCTACTACTTTCTCAAAGCCGTTCCTGTGATTTTGGGGGTCTGGGGTGAACTTCATAAATTAGGCCCCGAGTAATACGAAGATTTTAAGTAATATAATCTAACCCGTGCATTAAACTTTTTCAATCAGAGGTTCACAACAACCATTAGATAAATCATAAATCCCTAAAGGAGAATTAATCATACCAAGTAGCATTAGCTATTGGAACCAAATTTGTTAGCACCAAAAGGAAGCTCATTTTGCATGGCATGATAAAAGTGAGGTGCTAAAAATGTTTACACATACAAGCTTTAATTTTTAATCATTGCATCTTAAACCATAAACCTTATTTTTGCTTAAGGAATATAAAGTAAAACAATTCATTTGTCACGGTTACAATTCTAGGAACATGCAAAAACACTAATGAACATAGTAAGCATACTGGCTCTCTAACTATATGCTCACTACTTCAATGTTAATTTTGTTGCAACCACCTTATTGTGCTAAAATGTTGTCACCAGACTACCTAAGAAATTGTCTATCCAAACAGCCACAAGATTCACGATAACATAAGGGCTCAAACTGAATCAAATACCCCAACTTGCAAATCTGGCTATAACATACAACTCTGGCAAAGAAGAAAAAGAAAACAAAAATTGATGTCAAATCAAACTAACTAGTGAATGAAGAATGAAAGCAATAATAAAAGATGAATGGTAACTTGGAATTCGGCATTTGGATAACAAGTAAAAGATTACAGAGGGCACTGATGTCACTAATAGAGGTATCAACTTTACATCTTAAACACATATAACTGCCAATATAGCCCAACAGCCAAACTTAATCCAACACCCTGTCTCCTCCACATCATCACCATTTTTCTTCTTCCTCCTCCTCTTTGATTTCACAACATTCCAAGATTCCGCCTTCAAGCTATCACCACCAAGTCCGATCTTTAACAAACCTAGAATAAACAAACCCCTCCCCCTAAAATCTCAAACTAGAACAGGTGACTTTCTTATCTTCAAAAATCAATTTTTACTCAAAAATCTACAAAAAAAAATAATAATAAATAAATAAATAAATAATGAAAGGTAGCTCATCCCGGCTCACAGGATCAGTTAGCAACCATTACATAAATCATAAATCCCTAAATCATAATTAATCACACCAACCATTAGGTATTAGATAAATCCCAAAATCAGAAAACACATTTAATTACAGGAATGATCCCTAAATTAATTTTGCTTCTTCTAAGCTCATTACAATGACATAGCTGATGGACTGATGGAATCGTATAAAAATTTCAAATGCATCTATAAACATTTAATCATATAGAAGTCATTCGAAACATTAAACATATAAATAGAAATTTAGAAATCATATCACATAACGGCAGTGGCGGCCGGCGGTGCTGGGCACACGCACGCACGGAGAGTAGACGGGAAGGAAGGAAGGAATTGACCATTAAATCTGATATTTTTCCATTTAATAAAAAAAAAAAGGAAAAAAGAAAATTTGAGGCCCCCTTTTTAAATTAGGCGGGAGGCACCGGCCTCATTTGCCCCTGCCCAAAACCGGGCTTTCTCAGTGAATCCGCAAAGTTCAATTCAGGATTAAAAAAAAAAAAAAACAAAAGTAATTGCTCATTAGCATAATTATATTGCACAGTTTGAACTTTTTAGCTACTCGTATTCATTACTTCTTCATTCACTCAGACATTTCGTCAAACACCTTTCCGACTACAGCGTACAACAGAAAATAACAGTCCTGCTGTAAATTCGATAGTTAAAAGCTTATACTGCAAACAAAATGAATCAAAGAGAAAGGAGTACGATAACAAGTCAATTATTTGAACACTCTCACCTTACTTATATTGCCACGATTAAGACCTTGTCGAATGTTGAATCGTTGATATAAAACTACTGGCTCTCGGATTTGTTATGGTGGCCGAAAGTGCATGTGCGGATGATTTTGTTGCAACCACCTTAATGTGCTAAAACGTTGTCACTAGACTACCTAAGAAATTGTATATCCAAACAGCCACAAGATTCACAATAACATAAGGGCTCAAACTGAATCAAATACCCCAACTTGCAAATCTGGCTATAACATACAACTCTGGCAAAGAAGAAAAAGAAAACAAAAATTGATGTCAAATCAAACTAGTGAATGAAGAATGAAAGCAATAATAAAAGATGAATGGTAACTTGCAGGGGCGGAGCCAGGAATGTGTCGTACGGGGGGCAAATTTTTTTTAAATTGAATGTACGAACACCCTCTCTCTGTTATTTTTTCTGTCCTTAATGACTTTGACCTCAAATGACCAAATGCCAACAGTTGAAGTCTTCGTTGGTTTTTTTTCCTGTATATAAACATCAGATGTGCAACACGAGAAGTTACCATTGAAGTTTGTCGATTTATCAAGTAAACCCTAGCTCTACAAAAGATAAGGCTACTGATGCCAAGACTGAAACTAAGAAAGAAGAAGCCCCTGAATCTGATGACGAAGAAGATGAAGATGATTCGAAGGATAGTGGATTTGATGATTTATCAGGAGGAATGGTATATCTCCATTCTCATTGTGCGAATCTCTTTGTTTTCTTCCTTAAGATCATTCATTACGAATTCTGTATTTTCTTGTGTTTTAGATTATTCTTTGGGTGTGTAGTTGTAAAAATATTGTATTTCTGTTGTTGTGATTGATTCTTCACATCATATTATGTGCTACCAAGACTCCAACATCATTTTTCCTATGAGTAAAATAACTTAGCTTTACATACACAGATGAGTTTGGCCGATGATAGTCATGAAATTTTTCTACTTATCAGCTTCCATAGGTCTGAGGAACAATATTTACAACTTTGTATAATCTGATATCACCAGGACTTTCAAAATTTTCTTCCCAAAGCATGTATAGTTTGTAAAATTATCTTTTTTCTGCTATATTTAGGTGCTGAATTCTTCAATCCTATCTACCCTTATCAACAAATTTTCAGAATATTTCACCACCACATTGTCATATTTATGTGCGCCTTCTTGCCAGATTTTACCACATTTAACAGGAGTAAAATTAATCAATCTTGCCTCATTGCCATGATTGAAAAACTAAATATTTCAGATTGGTTTTTAACTTTTGTGTTGGGGTTTTACAGAAGGCATCCAGTTAAACCATGGAGCACCTCAACCTCTTTAGTCAATGCAGCTCTACTCTCCCAGCAACTCAAATCAGTTTACTGAACTGACTTTATTTTTTTTTCCCCACGTGTTATATACAAGACTGATTATAAATTTCATCTAAGTACATATCAATAACATTTCCTAAATGGCTAAATTTCCAAACTAACATTTCCTAAAAAAATGCCTAAATGGCTAAATCCTAAAGCACAACTGCACAACCATTACACATGAATACTGTCGGAGTTGGGTTCTAGATTACATCATTAGTAGATATAGAACTAGAAGCACGCCATTATAAATTCAAACCCCAATTTAAAACCTACAGGCCCGCCACAACTATAGACTACAGGTAAAAAAAAAAAAAAACCAAAAAAAAATTCAGTAAAAAAAACTACAGCTCCAGCCTCCAAGTACGTATCAACTATCAACATTCAGTAAAAAAACCAAAAAAAAAATTACCTTTCTCACAGTCACAGAATCCGTTAGGCGGACGGTGAAGGAAGGGTTTCGCACTTTCGCCGTTTTGGGTTTGAGAGAGTCAGAGAGAGAGAGCAGAGAAGGACGAAGGGTTTGGCTGCCTTTCGCAGCTTTGAGAGAGAGAGAGAGAGGCAGAGAGCAGAGAGAGAGGGAGTGAGGGACGAAGTGGTGTGAGAGTGAGACTGTGAGAGAGAGTGGAGAGGGTTCACGTTTTGGGTAAATGGGTGGGAATTGGGTTTAATTTTAGGTGGGTTGGGCTTTCAATTTTTCAAATGGGCTAAGGGCTTTAACTAAAAAAAAAATTTCTAAGGCTGGGCTTGGGCAAGGGCAAGGGTGGGCTGGCTAGGACAGTTGGGCTTTAAGCCTTTAACCAAATATGTTTTTTTCCAGAGGTTGGGCTTGGGCAAGGGTGGGCTGTAGCCCACCCTAGCCCACCCCTATCTCCGCCCATGGTAACTTGGAATTCGGCATTTGGATAACAAGTAAAAGATTACAGAGGGCACTGATGTCACTAATAGAGGTATCAACTTTACATCTTAAACACATACAACTGCCAATATACCCCAACGGCCAAACTTAATCCAACACCCTGTCTCCCCCACAGCATCACCATTTTTCTTCTTCCTCCCCCTCTTTGATTTCACAACATCCCAAGATTCCGCCTTCAAGCTATCACCACCAAGTCCGATCTTGAACAAATCTAGAATAAACAAACCCCTCCCCCTAAAATCTCAATTTCCACCCAACCTCCTCCTAAAGAACTTTGTCAAATAGTCCTTCACTTCTAGTCATATTCCCTCCTAAACCCCAGAATCAGTTAAATCAAGCCAAAGTTGTATTAGAAATTCAGCCAGAGATAACAAAAGATCACCTTTCACCCACTTCCAAGAAAACCCAAATAGCCAAACTAGAACAGGTGAATTTCCTATCTTCAAAAACCAATTTTTACTTAAAAATCTACAAAAAAATAATAATAATAAAAAATGAAAGGTAGCTCATCCCGGTTCACTGGATCAGTTAGCAACCATTACATAAATCATAAATCCCTAAATCAGAATTAATCACACCAACCATTAGGTATTAGATAAATCCCTAAATCAGAAAACACATTTAATTACAGGAATGATCCCTAAATTAATTTTGCTTCTTCTGAGCTCATTACAATGATATAGCTGATGGATTGATGGAATCGTATAAAAATTTCAAAT